ACACGGTTCGTTGTTTTTTAAACCACATATTTAGAACTCTGGAATCTTTAAATTAAATCACTTTTGAAGATAATTTCGAGTTGTTCAATTAAATATAGTTTCTTTTTTGCCTTAAATAAAATAGGACTAAAAAACTTCATTGCAATTCAATGCATTAAAAAATTAACATTTGTAATCCCGAAAATCTTCATACAATTTTTTTTTTAAATTTCGAGACCCAAATATCGGAATAAAAAATTAAAAATAAAATTTTAATCTGCAATGTCGGATAGAAAAAATTTGATTCCAAAAAAATTCTAATACCGGATTTAAAACAAATCCCAAATTTTTAAATATAAAATGAAAAATTTAATTTTTTAGATTTCACTTTTTTTGCGTTTGCGTACTTTGTGTTCTACCATTTTCCTTATCTCTTGAAAATGAAAGCTTATTTTGAATAAAATACCAAAATAGCATTACATTTACTTATTTTAAGTTTTTCAGTTAGAATTATGTAAATCTTTCCTTTTTATCCCTATTCATGCCTGTGGTTAATTTGAAAAATAGTTTTTTATTTGTTACTCTAATTTTTAAACTCAAAGATATTTATTCAATTTTTAATTTCGATTTTGGAATTAAATTTTCAAGTTGAAAAATAATTAAAAATTTTAAAATTTAATTTTTAATTAAAGGCGTTGGAATTATTTGTTGAAAAACGGAATTAAAAAAATCTTATTCTTCATCCAAAATTTTTGCTCTTAACTAAAAAATTAGTACTTTTTAACAATTTTCTTATGAAAATCAAATTTAAAGTTCCAACGCCTAAAACTATACCACTTTTGTGTATAAAATAATGTTTGTCACTTACCATTTTGCTAATGTTGTTGTTGTTTTTAAGTAATCGACAAGCAAGTGTCGCAAAATGCAAGCTATAAATTAAAGAAGAAAATATTTGTTTATTTAAAATAACACTAAATCCAAATAGCCAACTTTCTTAAGCTTAAAAATATCACCTTTTTTGGTTTGTTGACTTGTGTTTTTGTGTATGAAGCACCAAACGCGGTCAGATGTCGCTTGCGATGTGTTGACTTAGGAAATTTGCAAGCCACTTATATACCGATGACATGTTGCAGCAGCAGGCGCTAATCCTGGCGATTGCCCCACCGCTCGCTGTCATAGTCGACTTTCCACGGTAGTACAAAAACAAAAAACGAATCTAAAAGAAATAAACGGAAAACCAAACACACCCACAAGGCAATCGCATAAAGATAATAGCGATGCCACAAAGGGATGCAACCCTTTTGTGGGGAAAAGTAAGACTTCGGTCATGTTTGTGTGTACTTGCTGGAATACCGAAAATATGAAAAAAGGAAACAATTTAGATTTTTTTTTAAATTATTCTAATAATTACAATAAAAAACTTTGACTGAAAATGACATTGTAGCTGTCTCGACTCCATAAATATTTGGTAGCAAGTGACCAACTTCATTCGAGTATTACACCCAAACATCCAAAAAGAAACTTATAATAATTTTGCTTGCTATAGTGAAAATCTATACTATATATTTTTTTACTAAAACTACGAATTATTAACCTCCCAAATTCATACTGTTTCCCCATTTGCCGAAGATAAAAAGATGTCAAAGCTTTCAAATGAAACACACAACTATCCTTCCGTGCTTCAATGTCTTACACGGACACATGCCTATAGATATACACACAAATATACAAGTAAGTAGATACACATATTTGTATTTGTATGCGCTTTTAAAAGATAATAAATTTTGTTGCTTACTAGATTACTTGTTGGGCTGTTAATACGCGGTTAGATCTGCTCCTGATGTTGATTACAAAGCGCGCTCGCAGCAGATGATAAAATACATACGGGTAACCAGGAATTATTTTTCTCTTTATACATAAAAAACGTAAGCATAAAATCGAGTGAAAATCCTTACGTTCTTTCTTGTCGTACTTGTTGAACTAAAGGAGGTTACTAACATCGTTGATAAATTTTTCAAAGCACCAAATCTGGTGTTGTTGGTTTTAAGGCGTATACCTAGTGTGAAATTTAAACAAAAATCGATATTTTTCTTCTTTATTACAAACACAAGTAAGCAATTAGTGAAGATCGTGAAGTCATCGACAACGTTCCTCATGCAAATCGTCCATCTACATCTGTCAATGACGATAACATCGATTAAGTCAAAGAAACAATGCTTGAAAATCGGCGTATTGGTAACGGAGAGATAGCAGAGGATCCCAACATTTTCACATTTTGCCAAAACGACGTCGAGTGCGGATCGCAAAAGAGATGTTTAACAACATAGCTGAGGACGTTCCATTGCCCAAAGCCATCATTACTGGTGATGAGACGGGATTTATAATTATGAAGTCGACACAGTCTAATAATCCAGCGAATGACGCTCCAAAAATTAGCTGAAACCGAAAAAACTAATATACACTGAAGGCACCGAAAAGGAGCCTATTTTGAAGGCGATATTAAAAATTTCTATTAAAATACGTGAAATATTAATATATTTTGTCAATCAGGGTCAAATTTGATCAAAAATTTTTAGATAAAATATAGTTCAGAGTTGATAAGCCGCATCACAATTATTTCTGTGGAATCATAGACATATTTTAATTTATAAAATCGAATTTAAAGATAAATATATTTTTAGCCGATTTGTAAATCGAAATAAACCACATTTTTTTAAACAGATTAAAACTGCTATGTGCAATCTGTTAAAATATATTTGTTTAAAATGTGTTTATAAATAATATTTTTTTTTTAATTTTTGCGATCTTGTTGTAAGTTGCATTATTAAAAATAAATAAGACAACAATTTTAATGTCTTTCAATTTTTACAGAAATATTTTATCACAAACTTTTGGCAGACCACAAAAGCAATCACAAGTCGCTTCCAGTAATCTAGCAGCAAGGGTTCCGCAGATAACAATAATTATGAATTCATTATCATTACACCCCCACTTGATAGTGCAGCGCGTAACACGGGACTTCCATTGATTATAATGACAATTGTAGATATCTATAAATATATATAAATATATATATATATGTATATATATGATAGCATAGCAGATCCTTTAAGAAAACACAACAAAACCAACAAAGGTCATTCAAATGTTGTCACTCTCATTGAGCCGCCATATGGTCGAAATGGCATATGAATGGCGAATTGTATTTGATGAATTGTAATTGTACTAACTACCCTTTCATCACAGGCACAACCTGTTGCCACATCCCTTTTGATGCGGCATAAGCGCGCCCGCGAAATAATGACAGCGCCAGCAAGTTAAAACCCACTAGGTGCGATTCCGAAGGCGTCTGCTGTGTTATGCATTTTTCTCTAAGTGCATACACACATACAAACGAAGAAATGTAATTCAAGATGTTTTGGAGCCTTACTATGGCAAATATAGCGGAAATTTCACTTGTCAGGATGAAGTTATGAATACTCGTATTTTCTACATTTACTAGGTGCTAGCACTAAGATATTCATATCTTTACGGCTATTTTGTAGGTGGGTCGGGTAGTATTTTACTAGATAAACTTTGATTTGCATACTCCTGCGACTTCGCTTCGTGTGCGTGACCAATGCAATTCTATCCAGAACAACCAAAATATCCGCATTTTAGAAATTTTTACCATATTCTTCAGTTGTGATTTTAATATTAGCTGTTTGGGCTTTGAAGTAAATAAATGTTGGATTAGGTTATAATGGCTGGCTGTCGCGCTATACATAAGGCTACAGGTCCTTTGTAATAAAAGATGCAGCTTCAGTTTAATACAAGCTTTTTTTGGAAAGTTTAATAGAGACTTGATATCCAATTCTTATACTTCATCTAGTCGCTTGAACTACAAAGCTCCTCGATATCTAAGATGAGTTTTAAATAAGGCCGGACAGAAGTGGAGAAGGTGTTCCAGCGTCTCTCAAAGATAAGTAAATAAAATTTAATAAAAAATTCTTGTAAAGGGTCGTTCGCTGTTAGAATGAACTATATGATGATAGTTTGAACGGTGATCCAATCCAGATGCTAACATGCAGTAGCTCTAACATAGGGAGCATCGTGTGCTCTGAAAAATAAATCTCTAGACTTCTTCTACGTCCAATTTATAAGGTTGAGAGGAAGTTGATTACGGTACTTCTTTCTTGACCGTCCCGTTATTTCGAGACTAAGACTGCATTACCACGCCTCTCATTTTTAAAATAATATAAAATCCGTTTACCTCTGAATCGGTTACAGCGTCATACACGCAACGTGTAGTAAAGCATCAAGTGTCATGTGAAAATTCATTGGAGTGCAACTGAGGTACAATTGTTAGTAGAACAACACCAGATATCTAAAACCATTTGTTCATCATATTCTAACGGTGCGGAAATTCCAATAGACGAGATCAAAAATTAATCACGCCTGGGCAACTAACAACTTCAAGATGTACCGAAAACTATAAGCATATAGGTAGATAGATATGCCTTGAATATACCGCACTTTTAATAGAAATTTATATAATACAATACATATATTGATGCAGAACCTGAAGCCTTAAAATTATATACATAGGCTCCATCTTTCTAACGAAACACGATTTCTAATAAGGACCTTCATCTCGTAGCTTTATCATGCATTTGTTAACCATGATTACATAAAAGCAAATCTGTCTACTCTAATTTTTTTTTGGAAGAATGAAATTACTGAATTCCCGAGAAAATGCAAAAAATTTCACGAAATAGCTTTCAAGTCCTTTCAAAAAACCACTTTTGGATTGGGTAATTAAAAACATCTATGACGGATACCAACAATAGGTCCTGGGTATTGAGAATTATGATAATTACGCTCACATCTATATGTATACTTGAAATTATGACTAGCGCTTCTGCATAACAGTTCACCAGTTACTTACCTTAAAAGTTCACCAGCCTGTATATCTGCCTAACTATACAATTACCAACTCATACCATCTGATCAAATTTTATGCAGACAAGAAACTAAAAACAAAAATTTTCACGCATTTTATTACAAATCTTTATATTTATAAACACTCGTCTCGTCACCAGTCATGATGCGTTTGATGAATGTAGGATTCTCAGCTACGTTGTCAAGCATCTCTTTTGCAAAAGATTCAGGTCTTTTGGTACGAGTCTAGTATTGACACTCTTCATACCCAAGACATTAACCAAAATGTGTTTAGTCGATCCATAAGAGATGTTAAGTCTCTCTGGTAGCTCTCTGATGCACACGACGATTTTCAAGCAGAGTTTCTTTAACTTTTGCGTTGTTATCGTCATTAACAGAGGTGCATGGATGACTAGCATCAGACAAGTTTTCGATGACTTCACGACCTTCACTGAATGCTGAATCTTTCAACCTCTGTTAACTTAAGAAACACAATCACTATCTATATTTTGTATTATACTTATAATTTCAATAGGCAAAAGTTTGAATATATATCTAACAAATATACACAATTTACATTATTATTTTACCACCTAAGAAGATAGAAGATAGTTGCTCGTGGATATCCAATAAGATTCACATAGAAATGAATTGAAAGGAAAACCCTTTAATTATATTATTATCAATCATGATGTCCGTGACCATGTCCGTGTCCGTGACCATGCCCACCCCAACCACCGCCTCCAACTGGAACTGAAACGACTACGGGCTTCACAATAATCGGCTTGACAATGACGGGCTTCACAACGACCGGTTTTGATATTATTTTATTTGATTTGCCGAATGACGGTATAAATTTCGAATGTGACGCAACCGATGTTAATATAATGGCCACCACCAAGATGCGCAGCAACACAATCCGCGTTTCTTTACTATCCATTTTTGTGCGGCGGCGTTCACCTGCTCCTTTGTACTAGTAACTACTGAACCTAAGGTGGCAACGAAACTGTTTATATATGACAAAATGAGAAACTCATAAAATGAAATGAATTAATTAACTATTTTCGATCATTTTTACGCACTTCTTGGGAGATTCGCGACATTGATTTGTATGCAGGAGAGGCGCCCGGGCATAATCTTACGAATTGCGTATGTCCATTTTATTGTTTATTAAGTTGTAGAAATTATGAAGTCATTTAATGTGATGTCCAGTTTCTTGCGGTATTTACGAGTATTGGGTATCGAGGAGGTGAGACTGTTTGATATTTGTATGCAGAAGGAGTAAACAAAAATCCCAAGTGATGGAGATTCGATAAAGATTTTTATTAAAAATTCTGAGTGCACATCCAACGTCGTACATACTGAATTTATATACATAGGTATGTTCATGAATAGATGAGAGCTTTGAACAAAATTAAGTGTTAGGTAACTATCAACTATTCAATCATAAAAGTAATCAGACGTTACTACAATCAATGTCCATATTGTACAAATTTAATCTACAATACATTCCCAGATACGAGTTATCTTTATATTTATGTATATGTATTTATTTAAGATGCATAAAGATCGTAGAAATTACTCAGCCAATTTTTAAGCTTGATCAAATGTTTAAAGTAAAATTTAGAATGCCGAAAGCTTACCAAAAGTGTTTGATTGTGTGGAATTCCTATCACGAAAATCTATTGACGTCATTTGTGAAGCGTGCGACACCAACAAACCATGAATTAATAATAGTAGTTTGGTATTACCCAATAAACCATGCATCGATACAACAAATATTTTGTTATAACCCAACCGTAAACTCCAATTAGAGGCTAAAATATAAAATTACTCTCCGAATTTCGGTTCTCGAAACGTCTATAAAGCTTCAAACGATTTTTAATATACATATTTGTGTGTGTATAAGCAAAGACGCCATAAAATCGGCAGTAGAATGCCTATTTTCGAAAAATTTGTTTAATTCAAATATAATAGCTATTTATATTTCTGGCCTAAATATGAAAAAAACAACATTGTTAGTTAAGCTGACATTTAACTACAATATTTTTAAAACCACATTAAGAATGATAAATATTATATATTTTTAAAATCATTTGTCTTGCATTTTTCAAAATCATGTGTCTTTCCGATTGAGGGAATTTCGAAACATGCTTCTTCTAAGTTCAAAAACTGCTGACCACTTAGTCTGTTGAAGAAAGTTAATTTCGTGTCAAAAAACAAGAGTAAAGAGAAAAACATAAACATACAAGGACGGTCGCATAATATACGTAGCCGATTAAATAAACACGAAAATTTTGAAATGGCGATAGTCTCCTTTTACCTTAATACACTTGAGTCAGCGCTGCTCCAACGTCTTTAACCTGAAATATGCACAATACGTTTTCTGGAAATCTGCAAAGGAGACAATAATCTTCTCATTTGATTCAAATTTCTGAACGACGAGTAACGTTCTCAGGTTTGAAAACAAAAAGGAGTAAATCGTGCTATTTGGCAATGGCTGTTTTTCTGCAATTTTACAACGCAGTGCTGTCTCACGGATGCACAAGGTTGTCCGGAGTGAGTAAAGTAGACAGTCAACATTTCAAGCTGATATCACCCATGCGGACCCTTGAGATATCTATTACCCCAGCTATTTCGTCCACTAGTTCATTACTGCTAATAAGAAATCGTGGACTTTTATCGCGTTATCCTCCGTGATAGGCATTTTCGGAGCTCTTGGACATGGTTCATCAAAAACCGATCTACGAAACATTGAAACCCGTTAATCTAAGGAAAAGAGTCATCGCTTCCAAATGCGATCAAAGCAAAACTACGATCCCGATTCGTCTGATTCCAAGACAGAAGTAGCCGTTTATGAAAATGTACCGAACGATCGTAAGCTTCTTTTCCGAAAGTGGCGATATAGGACGGTGAGACTAGGTATTTATCGGACCATTCTCGAAGATATATTTTTTTAATTTATGCGATGCAACGCAACCCGACGTTTTACTTCAAAATGCTTGTACAAAATCTTATTGATGCTAATATTGTCAAGGTTCACCGATGTTTGATATGATGAACTTCCACAATCACCTCGCTCAGATGCCACCTAAAGGTAGGCGGTTTTATACCATTTGATACTGGCTCCTATGAAACCCTTTTGTATCATCTCGGGTACAAAATTTTATTTTTCTGACACATTTATTTATTGAGTTATCGCACTTTTAGTACTTTCTAACATAACCGTTAAATGGGGAGTACGCGTGGTTGTCATCTGATTTCTCATAATTTTACAGTATTTGAAAAAGTGCAAATGAAACTTCTTCTCGGCAAGTTTGGTTGAAATACCTTAAGTGGTTTGTGGGATATACACATTAAGCCAATTGGAGGGCGGGACCACTCCCAGTTTCTAAACATTTTTAAACCACAGATGCCGTTCCTTAATATGGTTGATTGTACCAAATTACAGTTTGGTATCTTGATGTGGAGCTTAGCTATGGGAGGTTTAATTGGTTTTCGATTAATGGCATTTTTTGGACGTGGCATAGTCTAATATCGCCCATATGTATTAACAACCTATTTTGGGCGCCAAGGAACATATGAACCAATTTCAATTTCATTGAGATATGTTAATTTTTACTCAAGTTATCGCTTACACGGAGGGAAATACAGACAGTCATGCGGATTTCAACACGTTTCGTCACCCTGATCATTTATATACATATGTACCATATATATAACTCCATATCTATGTACATATTTCGATTCGTTTTAGGTGTTACAAACAAGTGAGCAAAACTGTAATTCTGTATAGCAATATGTATGAGAGTATAAAAATAATAATAAATATATAAATAAAATTACACGTAATTATTTTTTAAAAATTATACAATGTATACTAATTTATTTATATATACTTATACATATATAATTTGTCCTAACATGTTAATAGGCTTTGTTACACTTGGGCACATGTATATATTTGCTTATAGTCAACTTTAAGTCTTGGCAACTCTATTCAAGCAAACAGTTCACAATGGCGTCTTCTCAAAGTTTCCAGCTGGAATTTATTGACAGTTCTTAAATATTTACTATGCGTGATAATTTGTTTAATTTTACATTATTTGCACGAAAATCGTATCTAAAGCGAATCTATTTTTGAATTTTTTGCATAATAATAGAAATTAGTGTTGAAGAAATGAGTATTTGTTCTGGGTAAACAACTGTTTCTTCACTAAAAACTATACAATTATATTCGACATAACATAATAAGTGTCAGTTCTCAAAGCTAAGAAGGCATTTGTAAATGTTCAAAACATAAAAGATTGTGTTATGTTGAAAGTATTGCCACTAAAAATAACGAACAAAATATTTGAAGTCATAAAGGCTCAATAAGTAATGTTTGTTGTTTTTTACATTTTGTAATTTTACAGAATATTCGATGACGAAAGACTAATCGAATTGGTGGAAAACCATGAGATTCTTTACAACAAACATTGCACTGGGTATAAGGGTGCTGAAGAAAAAACAGATTCTTGGATTAAAATCGGCGAGGAGTTGGGGATGGCTGGTTTGTAGAGTGTATTTACGTTTATTCGTGCAAAGATAATGCTTTGTTTTATGTAGCCGAAGAATGCGCCAAAAGGTGGAAAAGTTTAAGGGAACGGTATTCCAGAGAACTTAAACTGGTTGAAAATAATGCCAACTTTGTTGTGGAGTGGCCTTTATTCGGCGCACTTTCGTTTCTAAGACAATTTGTAAAACAACGACAGTAAGTTTATGCTAAAAATAATTAAAAAATTAACGATTAAATAAAAGTATAATTTCAGCGGGAGAAGCACATCAAATGAAGGTAAGTATATACATATGTCACTTGGAATGTCTCAAAGTATAAATATCAACAAGAAAAAATTAAGTAAACACCGAAACTATAATACCCTCTATAAATCAACTAAATATTTATATATACCTTGTTCAGGGTATAATAACCAATTAATTGATCAATTTGTAAATTTCTGCATTATTTTTCAGTGAACGACGAGTTGTTAATCCAACTGGTACGTGCTCATAATGTACTTTACCAGAAAAACTGTTTAGGACTTAGATATTCTAGTCAAAAGACAGAAGCCTGGTTTGAAATCTCAGAACAGATGGGTATAACTGGTTAGTAAATAAACTTCCGTTATTTTAGCATAAAATAAATTTACACGATTTTTAGCCGAAGCATGTTCTAGCAGGTGGAGAGGCTTACGAGAACGTTATTCTAGAGAACTAAAGCAAGCGGAAATGCTTTCTGAAAGCAATGATGATGCAAGTTCATGTGTTCAGTGGCCTTTATTTAATTCGCTATCGTTTTTAAAAGATTCTGTTAAGCCACGACAGTAAGTTTACAGTTAAACATATGAATTGTGCTTTTAATAATTCAAGTCATATTACAGTACCCGTGACTCAAAGGATTCTTATAGGGATCCAGCTATTGTTGCAATAAATAGGAAGAGACGGAAACGGGTCTGCGCAGACGATAGTGAGGTTTCAGAAGCATGTAACTCTCCAACCTTAGTATGCAAAAAGGAATTTTTTATAGATACAATGTCGATGCCTCCGGATAATGAGCTATTTGCACGAACGATTGAAGATTGTAGAGAAAAGATGATAGTACCAAATGGTAATGAGGAAAAGTTCTTTCGTTCACCAGAAACTTGCAGAGAAAACATGACGACGGTAAAAACTAACGATTCCATAAATTTATTTGGTCAAACAGTTGCTGCAATTATATTGGAAATGAGTCAAGCGAAACAAGCTAAAGCAATGCGTGTATTATTCAATGCTTTAATAACAATTAAAACCGAACCAGAAGAATCCTAATGCAAATATTTAAAGATATAATAGTATTATATATTTATATAAAAACGAAAGAAAAACATTAATTAAGTTTACTTATAAGATAACATAACTTCTGTAATCGCTGTAAGCCAAAAATTGTTTTTAAATAGCCATAATTATTAATTTTAAATTAATATGCATACTAATACTTTGAATTAATATTGTTAAGAGCTTAACTTTAAGTAAAAATTATTTAAACCCTGAATCAATGAATGTCTTTTGTTCTAAGAAAAATTTAAACTCACATAATTAAAAATAATGAAGGCATGCGAATATACATACATATTTTGAAATCGATGAGCTCCATTGAATTTGAATCCATTTATAATACACAAAGTAAATATGATGTCATAAAATAATTCTACAAGGTTCACTCCTGGTCTCTATCGAATTGTGGATTGGCTGAATGTGCAAAGCGTTGTCGATATTTTAAAAACCGCATTTTTATAAAGACGGCTGAACCTAAGAAAACATTTGAATAAACGTATATAAATTTTAACAACAAATAATTTTAAGCAAGCCTTACCACTTTTGTATACGAAATGAGCATTTTTTAATTTACATGATTCGGATTCTAAACGTTGTGAAGACAAGCTTTCGCACTCTTTAACTAAAGAAAAGCTAGGAACCTACATAAGTAAACATCAGACATGTTTGGATAACTGCTTCAATTTGTTTTCTGAAATATAGGTATTTGCTTTGTGTCCGTTGTGTTCTGTTAATCGACATATTGTATTTTTATAACGTTGTATAAAACGACTACTAAAACTTCTTACACTTTTCTCTGGAAGACACTGCAAGAAAATAAATTGAAGCGGAAATGAAAAGACGCTATGTAAATTAGGCGGTTTGCCGGAATTGACATATCGCGGTTCTTAACCCTTTAACTGCTCACACTTTAGGTTTAAACGCTAACGGATTTTTCGATAAATCGTCTACCGTGTAACTATTATTACTGTATCTAACCATTTAAAATTTACATAAAAACTTACAGTTATTAATATTAAAAACCTTTATGTACTTTATAAAAACAAATTGTAAGGAAAATACTGGTAGGACCGTGAACACTGCCAACCGACATATGACAATTTACAATTTTGATATTTTCTTATCCATGACGTTTGTGAATCATGTGTCAGGTTTCGTAGTACATATTAGAGCTGCCTGAATCTATTTTTATATAGTAAATAAAAACAGTATTATTATAATAATGTGATGATGCAACCCTAGCTGTCATTTCAATCAGAGTTGAGTAAAATTGTTGGACTTTCACATTGTGTCGCCAGTTGTTTTTACACATCTCTCGCGTTAAGTTGATAATTTTGAAAAGAAGTGAGATAATACAAGTAACGCCGACTTGCGGGAATATTTAATTTTTCTATTATTACATTACTTACATTTGTAAACTTTGTGAAAATTTAAAGAAATTAAAATAATATAGTGTGGTCTATTAAGGGATATCACACCTTTTGAAATAGAGAATAAAAATTGTACATAAAACCAAGGTCAGTGAATAAGATACGGAATTGAAAGCAAAATTTCGCTAAAACAGTGCAAATAAAGGAACGTCAAAGAAATTTATGTTCAGGCCAAATTTTTACAAAGACCGCTAAAATCTTAAAAACAATAGGAATTCCGAAATTCTATTGCATTAACTTGTGAAGTAAAATATATAAATTTGATAACGCAGATCATAATTGCTGCGGTGTACGTGTGTGTGCGGTTATTAAATTAGGCTGTGTTTGGAATTTTTGTAAAAATTCCACGTGAATGTCTTCACAATCGTCGGCCCGTTATTTACCAATAACTAAAATGGACAATCCCGCTCTGTCTGGGTCCAGTGGTGATGTGGAGGCCGATAGTAATTCTGTGGAAGCTAGTCTACCCGCCACCTGTTCGTCGCAGCAATTAATGCCTTCATCCTCAGACACGGATAGCGTTGGTGTACAACCGCCAACTACCGGTATCACGAGAACACAATGGTTCACAGTGGTGGTGTTGTGCTTTGTGAATTTAATCAACTATATGGATCGCTTTACTATAGCAGGTATGTAAAAATAACCATTGAACAAATAGGGCAGAAACATCACCTCAATAAGTTTGAAAAGAAAACACCTTTCTGTGTTGTATAATAATAACTTTAATGATTATTTATGTATACCTTCGAAGCAATTCATCTTAAAAATTTTGAATAGTATGTGAGCTAAAAATACTGCTTTAGCTAAATCGTCGAAATGACACGTTAGCGGCTAAACAACTTCAACGCGCATAGCATGAGTTCACTGTGTCAAGTGCTTGAACGTTCAGCTTCTGTTGTCGCTTCTGGCTTTGCGCGCTTCTGAAGTGGATAAATATATTTTCTTCCCATTAATATACAGATGTATGCTTCTTTTAAGCTCGTGGGCATATCTTCGTTAATTTCCATGATAAAGTCGTTCTCTTTTTTCGTACATACATACATGTATATGCATGTAAGTACATATGTACATAAATATATATGGGAATATATATGTAAATTTGTAGTATAAACTGTTTCCGTTCGGTTATATGAATATAATACTATCATCAAGCATATATCTGCTGATATATACAAACATTTCCATATATGTACATATGTATGTATTTAGATAACCACTACAGCAAAGATATATTTGAATGCAGCAAACAACCCCTAAATTAATAATTAAAAATGAAGTTCTTGACTGCAATTGATTAATCATAAGTTTTAATATTTTTTTGTTAAATGTTAATCGTAAAAGTGAGAAGTTCATTGTTCTTCCAATTGCGTCACTTGTCTTTGTGCTAACCATATCACTGTATTTCTGATAACTAAATAAACTCTTTAAATATGCGTTTAAGAACGATTTGTTTACTTTCATACGCAATCAAGTAGTACTAGATATGATTGATAAGAAAAAAATTCAAAACTGCTTTTTAGTGCACCTATACTTAACACTTTTGAGGAAATAATAACGAAAATAATTATTGCTACATATATATGTATATATAACTCATACATACATTCATAGGCTTGGAGTGGCATTGAAATTTTGCCTTATGTTATCTACAAAGGACCACTCAGTTTAGTTATCAGCATTCATTGTGAAATCGAATGATTTGAATTTTGTGTAAAAAATCCTGCCTATGTATAAGTTGTGAATATAAGAATTCTAAATTATGAAACAACTTAATAAATATGATTGAGCATTAACATGCACAAACGAAAATGTAACCTTATTATTTGTCACTAAATTGCAAGTGAAAACTATTTTGCTCTATTGGTAGGATTTGATTGATTATATGAATATTAAAATCAAAACAAACAAAAAAATATCTCGTGATGACTACCCTTAAAGTCAATCAAATATTGCGTTAATTTTGCTTGCTTACAGATAAGCAAATAATCAGTGTCGCTGGTAAAATTAGCTTATAAAATTAGTAAATAAAAAAATACTCACTAGTTGTTGATTTGCCGATAAGCAAAGCAATGTAAATACCATGGGTAAATACAACACATACGTATGTACACATATTATCTATATCACATACAAAAATTAGTTTGGGCCACACCCACGTTCATTGCGGTTTATATATACATATGTATGAATGTATGTACATATATATTGGATTAATATTTTATAAACAGTATATTTCATTGATATTAAATCTTACAAAAATTATATTTTTATACATACGTACATTTGACATAATTACTGCTTATCTCCATATAAACAGTTCATTTATGAATGACTATTATACCAGTTTAACAGCGTTTTAGCCACGTTGGGCCTACGTAAATATGTTCATACATATTTGTATACATTTAATTTGCGTGAATCATGTCATCATTGCTCTTTGCATATACGTATGTACTCTCAATGCTCTGTGTGGGTCAGCATGGAAAAAAGAGAAACTTGTTTTTATTATTCACCGATGAAATTTGTTTGTACTTGCTTGCTAAAATGTGGCGTGATTTTGCTGTATACATTGGCAATTGTACAAATAACAGTCTTGGCACACAGCTCATCACCGAGTGGAATTTTGTTTACGCCTCTCACACATAACATTGAATAATAACATAATTTTAGTTACCCGTGTGCAGCTTCGTCATCATGGTTAGTAGTAGAATCATCTATTTCGGCAAATTATACTAATGTAAAACAAAACATAAACAAAAACAAAATACTGAGTAATAACGATAAAGTTTCACAAGTATTAATGCTTAAACTTGTAGTGGTGTTATTTTAAAGTTCTATGGCAGTTCCTATATTTCCATACTAACCGTCAACTAAGGTAAAAGTACAGCACGTGACCGGAAAGTTCTATTGATAGCAACGACATCGGTAGATATAGGAAAATGCACATAGACTACAGTTACATACATAGTTTGCATTAAATGAATGCAGTTAGCATAGCAAATAGACGCGCCTCGCCAGAAAGGCGACAAACCGACTGAAATAATCTTAAAGCAAATATTGATGATTATTTATAGATTTATTTACATATGCATATAAGTATACTAATTAAACTACTTGGTAACATACTTATGTTAAAGAGTACTAAGATTTGTGAAGATTATGGCTTGTTACTTGAAAACGATTATCTAATAACACAATATTAAATAAATTTTTGATACATTTTCTAATATAAATTAACTGTATTTTTATACCCTGAGCAGAGTATATTAAGTTTGAAAAGTTTTGTAACACCCAGAAGGAAACATCGGAGACCCTGTAGAATGTATCGATAAATTGAGTCGATTTAGCCATGTCCATCTGTCTGTATATACGCGAATTAGTCCCTGAGTTTTTGAGTTGCCGATCTGAAATTGTACACACGTCCTTTTCTCCTCAAGAAGCTGCTCATTGGAACCGTCGATATAGGATTATTATACAATATAATACATTGTAACCGGTAGGTCATACAAAATTTAGAAATATAATATATTTTATTTTAGGAAAAGTAAATAATTCATTCATCACCGAATACCTTTATTTGTTTGGTGTAATTTTTTTTTTTTTTGAGATTTGATTATTGAGCTCAATATTAAATGACATTTTTAAATTTTAAAGTTTGGAATATGTTACGTTATTAGTGACTAAATCTTCATTGGTATATGCTTTGCTTTAATTTCTTACTTCTATAAATATTTTAACGTAACATACTGAATTTTTTGGTACCTATCGCCTTCATACGACATTCCCACACTGCTGCTGTCGGAAAATTTGACGAAATAAAGTATTTAAAAACTCAAACAAAAATATTTACATATTTTTACAAACACTTGCTTATGTATTTGAGTATATATGCCTGTTTGCTGCTGTCGTGTCAGTTGAGTAAAAAATACGTCTAAAAATATTTTAAAATAACTATAGAAAGCAAAAAGATTACTTGCAAATTTAAAAATATTTGTCTGTAAATGCTTAGCGGCATACACATGTATGAAACATAATATATTTTTATAAAACAAGCGCATTGTTTGTTTACAATTAAAAGTTGTTAATTGCATAAGTAAATATTGTGAGCTTTCCTTTTGTTTGTGTATTATTACAAGCGTACACACATAGCCACGTAGCCACGTTTATACTGGTATTCTCGAACATTTGTTAAAAGTGGCGTGATGCTACGAATATGGTATGAAAATGTAAAAAGAAAAACACTTGCATAAAAAAACTGAAAATGCGGCGCACGAGTGTGGATAATACCAATTGTTATTGAATGTTGCCAAAAATTCATGGCATTTGCATTCTGCATTTCAACGCCACGTCATTACATTTCGTACATAAATTAACATAGATACATTTAAATCGCCTAATTACGTTTAATTTTGTAAATGTAACCATTTCTTACACTTTACATATAAATGCATATGTATGAATGTATATTTGTCTGCTCATATTTATACGAAAATGTTTTCAAAAGATCCTTATATGTACATGGAGTACATATAGAACATAACTTAATGTCAATATATAAAGAAATCAATATGTATGTGACGACCTTGCCATTTTGCTCGCCAATTAATTAAAAATCAATGCGAAAAACGTAAGTTACTTATTCAAACTGCTCATAGGGCGATCGAAGAAATTATAATTCAAGAGTTAATCGCTGCAACCGTGGAATTTGGCTGGCCAAAATTTAGTCGTTTTGAAAATGTACGTAATATTTCGTAAATGGCGCATCTCATATGCATAATCAAAAATATATGCAAGTAAATAAAAAATATAAATAAATAAGTATTCTACATGTATATATACAAGTATGTATATTATATTCTTACTATATAACAGTATGTATATTTATGCTGCTACATTTGGCGTCCCTTCGATTACATATCTCAGTTTTTGAGATATCAGCCTTACACACGTTATTTTCTTCCCAAGTAGCTGTACATTTGTCAGAACCCCTAATAACGGACTACTATAGCATATAGCTGCCATACAAACTGAACGATTATAATCAAGTTGTTACAGTGCAATTGTTTTCTATTTGACACGATATCTTCACAAAATTTAACAGAAAATATTCCTACTCATTTTAGCAGTTGCTTCTGCTTTTCTGTACTGAAATTAATACCAAAACGAAAACTTACTCAAAAATCGCACGTCAGTTGCTTTTCAGTTATATATTCAACAATTTTACATGTAAATTGTACTAAATCATTCTTTCTTTAATTAAATACAAATTTCTTTTATATGCAGATATACATTTGTAGTTGTAAAGGCTCTGTGTGCCCACCTCAAGCAGTGTGTTTGCACTCCATTGATATTGTAATGTCATAATTGCTATAATATGTAGTTAATGCAATTATCAATCATATATGATTTGCAGTACTTAGTTATGTAAATAGTTTTAATATTAAATAACAAAATGTGTTATAGAGCCTGTGTGTTTTTGTAATTTTACTTGTTAACTAAGTTTATCTAACTTTAAAAGCTTTACTAGCGCTCAAAGGCTAATGTGCGCTTGTAAAATGGGTACACATTGCATATGCAAGCGTAATAAATTCATAAACTCGATGATCAAACCTCTAATTATAACATTTGCAACCCTGCCATTTGACTTCCCTATACTAGTTAAACTATTACAACAAATATTACAATGTAAACTCACATAAAGCTTTTGTAATAATGGAATTACTTACAATAAATACATAATGTTTATATATTCGCCAAAAACATTACATAACCTTAAAATAAACTCTGGTGCCGTTAAATTTAAATTTAATAAAAAAATTTAGGTTTAAAACTAAGATTTTCCCAAAATTGGAATTAAAAGTTAAAAAAAAATTGGAAATAAAAATTGAAAATTTAATTTTTAATCTAAGAATTTTGGGATTAATTATTAATATATTATTTTTATATTTCATCTTTTCATACATATATGTATGTTTTTTTATTTTTTTTTTTAATAAAAACGTCATTTATTTTTTAAAAATTAAAACGCACTCTCCAAATACAAGTATGTTTACGTCATTTAGTACCACCACCTACAATATCTTGACCTTGATATTCATCTTCGCTCTCAAAAAATATACATATTTGTATTCATATTCGAATTTCTCCACTCAGCAATTTAATTTGTTCGCACTTTGTACTTTATACTATTGTACAAAAGGTTTTCAAGACAGGAAACGTGCCAGAAATAAACAACTTTGTCGTTAAAAAATAGCGGTTTTTCATTTTTTACTAGAAAAAGTTTTTAGCAACTCGAAACTGTGCTTTATTTCTGTTGTTTATATTGGCACTTTTCCAAAAATAAAAAGCAATTGTTAAAAAAAAAGACGATTTTCGAAAGTTGAACAAGCCAAAATAGCGAACAGCAAAAAACGCATAAAATGCATTTAAATCTTAACGCTCTATGGATATAAAAATGTAGCTATAAATGTAGCTAAAAATATAAATATAATGTACCATATGTATGTATTTTTGCAACATATCGTTTTTGCTATATAAGAATGCGAAATTGGTTGTTGTAGTCACGCCCCCACAAATCTCTCAATTAATGACTTTAAGTACAAGAGGTGTGCAGTAGCGAAAGATGAAGAAGAAATGCATTAATTTTGACATTCCTCTACCGTGTGGGTGCAGCAAACCCGAGCAAATTCACGCTTGATTGCTAATACTTATTGATTTAAGATCTTATTATGCTTACACATTCCGCCATTCAAGTGCTTTTACGAAATATATTTTATTTCAGTCTTATATTAATTTTCCTTTTTCTTTTCATAAGAAATTTTTAAGAATTAATTCTACGCGTTTTTTGCTTATAAAAAGATAAATGTAATTACATATTTCTCTTTTGTTGGGTCGGCAGCTTTCCTACGCTCTTCATTTTTTTTTTAGCTCTACTCATACAACTGTTGGTAGCTTTCGGCCATAACCTCTTCACTTCTGCAATTTTCACAGGTGTAAACAATTTTCTTTCACCACCTTTTGCCCATTCACAAACTCTTGCCCACAGAGAGCATCACAGATGCATGAATGCATACACACATATACATACATTCACTCATACAGTTTATTTCTCTAAAGAAAAAGTTGTAAATTCGGTCAGTTGAAAAATGCATAGCAAAATTGTGATAATTTTTTGTTTTTGTAATTGTTTAGGCGCTATGTCTTTTGTATAGAAATACGCTCATACAAACATACAAATTGTGTAGGTAACACTGTATACAAGTATTAAATGCTTACGAAAGTATTCGCATTGGGTAAACGAACTTTCTCTTTTCCGCCTTTCTTACTCGTAGTTTTTTTTCTGCTAGTAAATAGTTTTGATTTTTATTGCTCTTTACGGGTTTGTTGACATTTGTTATAGTAGTAAAAAATGTTTTGATTTTGCATTCAAGAGTGGCGCTTTGCTACATTAATTGGTGTAGTAGGCTCATTTGATGGTTACCTAAGTGCGGTCGAAATGACCATTTCATGGTTCTTACGAACTACAAACCTATCGAACTCCACTACCTTTTGTATTAATAATGAATTTCGCTCAAAACGCTACAAAGAGAATTCTTTTTTTTTGCTCAGAATCAGTATTTTTCTGTTCAAGCTCAGACTCGTTTTATTACAATTTATTACAGTACTCTGTGTTTTATCGACGAACAGTAATAATGAACCTTTGCATTTGATGATGAGCATATATACTTTGCTTCCTAAATCAAGAAAAATATTTGCTTCTGTCAAGAATATCGTCACGGATCATCGTCCACCCTTGTCACTCACTCACTCATCTTTAACAGCAATGTTTATACATGTAAATGTAAAGGTATTTGCCAAAGTAGATTTGCTGTGATAATCTGACAAACTTATTTTTAGCATTTCCGATCTTTAAACATATGTACATACAAATATTCATAGGTACAAATGTAATATTTTTTAAGTTTTTTGTAAATTTATTTTTATTCGTTTTTTTTTTAATTTTATTTTTATTATTTGATTAGATTTTTTTTGCAAACTATCGTAAATTTCTCTCAATTATTTTCGCAAAAGTTCAATATACATTAAATATGTACATATGCGAGTATTCATTCAATTTGATTTGCACAACCTTCTGTTATGCTCAACATGCAAATAACATTATTCTATGCTAATTACAGGGGGCATGTTAGAGCAATTAGTAATCGGCTGTTATTTACAGGTTGTACAAATAAGTTTTTAAATTAATTCAATATATTCGAAATTAAGTCAAACGCACTAAAAAAGCAAAACGCATTTATTCGAAAAGTCTGCGCAAACAAAATTATTATGCAATAATGGAGAGAATACCACCACAATTAAAATCAGAAAAAAGCAGAAGAAAATACGCGAACTAAATCGCCAATTTATTCAATGCTATTTGTCAATGGAAGTTTTTTTTATAATATATGCAAAAAATTTTTTGCCAGACGTTTTATTTTACATTAATTATTTTGACCGCCAATGTTTTATTTTTTTTCTCTCGATATTTACTCACAAAATTTTACAGCTGGAAAATTTTAAGGCCGTTTTCACCAGCCTCGAACTTTGCATATTCATATAATGTATTGTTTACACTCGTGAATATTTGCAGCTGGTTAAAACTTTCCCTAGTTTCCTTATTTATGCATTTAGTCAATGGAATTTTAGAAATTTCTAAATGAACATTTTATTATTCTTGAAAAGACGCAATATTAGTAAAATGATTATTTTTCCAGAAGCTTAGTTTAGATGAATTTAATTGCATTCAATAATATTGCAATCGTAACAATAAGATTTATGCTATTGGTATTGCATCGAAAAACAGTTTTTTGATCTCATCAAAAATTGAATTTTGGCAGGCCAAAAACAACCAACATTTTTTGTAAAATTAAACTTTTTTAAACGCCGCCAATTTGCCAATTTTTGATGTTTTTCGACCGGAGGCCATTCTACGGAGAATATATTCTAGTAAGAATTGTTTTTAGGTTTCATCCACGCAGAATTACTGCAGCCGTGGAGGACCTATCCTAAAAGTATGTATTACATTTTAAAATAATTGATTTAATATCAAAAATCGCCTC